AAAAAAAAAAAAAAAAAAAAAAAAAAAAAAAAAAGTGAAATGAATCATGAGAGGTGACGCATTTTCAAAAAGCCCGCTTCGCCGCGCCACTACTTTTCCTCTTATTAAAAATTAAATCCTCCAAAATTCCATGTTTTCCCGCGAATCTAAAGCATCACCACGCTGGCAATCCGCGTGATCGCTCTCTCAACCAATCACATCTCTCTCTTCGTTCCTATATATACCAAAATCATCACTCTTGCTTTCACCTTCAAGAAGAAGCCGATACTCTTAGAAGCCAGAGTTTAGGGTTTTTCGATTTTTCATCTTTGTCAAATTTCATCAGTTTCTTCCGATTCAACAATGAGTTCCACCAAGGGAGGTAGAGGAAAGCCCAAAGCCACCAAATCGGTCACACGATCGCACAAAGCCGGCCTCCAGTTCCCCGTCGGTAGAATCGCGAGGTTTTTAAAGGCCGGGAAGTACGCCGAGCGAGTCGGTGCTGGAGCCCCGGTGTATTTGTCTGCCGTTCTTGAGTATCTTGCCGCTGAGGTGACCGGATCCTCTGTTCTTTTGCTTTTTTAATTTGTAGTGGTTTTGATATAATGCTGTCTTTGATATAGAGTGTGTTCGTTTGGACTAGTTTTTCAAGTGCTTTAGTAAGGCAGAAATTGGTTTTCTTCTTTAAAATTAGTGTAACCAAGTAATAATCATTTTAGGAACAATCATTTTGGCTTAGAATCTAAAACGATTGATTAAAACAGCACTTCAAGAATCATCTTGTGGTAATTTAACACTTGTAGTTGTAGTATAATCAAGAAAATGTATCTGAGCACAGATTTTAATGGATCGAACTTGGAATTTTGTTTTTGATCTTGTATTTGTCGATTGGAATTAGGTATTGGAGCTTGCTGGGAATGCAGCAAGAGATAACAAGAAGAATCGTATTGTGCCAAGGCATATTCAGCTTGCCGTAAGGAACGATGAGGAGTTGAGCAAGCTTTTGGGGTGCGTAACCATTGCAAATGGAGGAGTTTTGCCCAACATTCACCAAACCCTTTTGCCTAAAAAGGTTGGTAAAGACAAGGGTGATATTGGGTCTGCATCGCAAGAGTTCTAGGGATTTAGGTTGTATTTTGGGGATGATTTTGGTTCTTTTTCCAGAATGACAGAAGTATGATGTTGAAATGAATGGGGTTTGGATCTGTTCCATTTGCTGGGTCATCTTGCTTAGTTTTGCTTAGATGCATATGGTTGGTCTGGATCCATGTAATGTAGTTATCAAGAATGATGATGATGATACTCCCTTCTAGATTTAGAAGTATGAAATGTGTATTTTCTTGTTCAAAGCACTCAATTTTGTGTTCTTGATTATTTCTGCTTAATAGTTGTTTTGATCTGAAATGATTTTAGACAGAAACTTGTTTAATTTCATTTAGGACCTTGAATCCTCTTCTTTATGCATCCTGATAAACGAACCTGAGCCGTGAAAGGGTGGTTCTCAGACCTCAGGTTCACAATTGAACTTGGTAGCCACGAATTAGCCCAGATCCTTAACCCAGCCCATTTGTTAGATGCGCCCAACCCATGTGTGCAGCCTTGCCCCAGATACGCCTCGCCCCTAACACATGTCCTTGCACCCATTGCCAGCTGACTTCTTGCGCCTGCCCCATAATGAACCCGTACCCGTCTTCAACTCCTGCATCCCTAACTCTAACGCTGCTTGGTTCGACTTAGCTTTAGGTGGCTCCAATGGCTTAAACCACTCGGTTTATCAATTTTTAACCTATTGCACTATTTTAAACTCTTTTCTACCATTTTTACCCTTTGGCTAGATGAATGGTTGATAAACCGAGTGGTTTGAGCCATTTTGAAATACATTTTAAGTACAATCACTATGGCTAGATGAAGTGTTGTAAGCTAAATTAGAGCCACCTAATTATGACTATTACGTAGATTAGGTTGCTAAATAAGTTCTTATTTTGTGTCGTGAATTGACATAGGATAGGTTAGCTTGGACTAGCTCCAAAGATTAACTAGTGACTCTCACTTAAGCTACTTAGATAAGTGGCTTTCCTATTGGTTTGATTGGATGAATTGTTGAGGTATGAATGGTGTGTTCTCTTTTGACCCTTGCATCTATCCTACCTTGTAATTTTTAATATTTGTTTATTATGTTATGGTTGTGTTATAAGTATGTTGTACTATGGAACTTGATATGTTACGAAATATCTTGTTAACATTTGAAAATTGTGCTATGCTATGAAAGGGTTATAACATATTAGATATTATGAGATGACATAAAATGATTATGTTACCTATGAAATAAAAGAAAATATAATTTGCATCATAAATACATGTCGTGATTTTAAACTATGGGGACTTCATGCATATTGTATATTCAAGTGCATCAAGATACTTCATTGCTATAATTCGTATGAATGTGCACACTATGATGTTATGATACTATGCATGCTCCCTTCCCTTTGTGGTATACGGTAACATGAGTGTATGCTAGTTGAAGACTAAGTCTAGGAGTACGTATACGAGCTTGCCTAGAGGTTCATGTGCGCATATGTGAGCCGTGTGTAGAGAAGTACTATACATCTAATTTTGCTCAGACCAGAAATATAGACTAAGGTCATGTTACGATGTTTTATATACATCTAATTTTGCTCAGACTAGAAATATAGATTAAGATCATGTTATGATGTTTTATAAAATGATAGATCTCAAGCATGATTGCATTTTCTGACTCCAACCGTGGGGTTAGTATATCTTAAAATACTTAAGGCATGTGCTAGTTTTATTCCTTTTAAGTTAAAAAAAAAAAAAAATTATAACAGCCTGATTATAATTATTCATAGTCATGAAATTCACCTTTTATTTTATTTAAATTTTCACTTTAATAATTTTTTGCTACATTGTTTTAATATTTTTATTAAGAACGTTTAAGTTGTATGAATATTTTAAATAAAATTTTCATGCATGGTAGATGTGTTAAACATGTATTGGTGACGTCGATTTTAATATAAAATAATCAGGTAGTTATAATTACGTTTAATATATTTAATTTTCAATTTTGGAATTTATTTTTGTGTTTAACAAACAATTGTTAAAAAAAAAAAAAATAGAAATTTATTAAAGCGCAAAGTTCAAAATTGTGTACGATTAAAATTAATTAATGAATTTATTGGATCCAAATTACTTCTGTAGCATTTTTCCGACACGAAAGCTGCTTCAATGGGTGAAACAGCGGAGCGACGGCGCCGGTAGACGGAATCCTCCGACGAAGCTAAATGTTGCAGGTGCAATTGTAATCAGCCAAAGTGAAGAGCATAACTCTCCCTCCCGTTTACTGTTTGGGGATTATACGATGTCGTTTTCCGATTCAGCTTCTGAGAGTTTTCGGATTATTCATAAATTATCCATAACTGTGAGGTTAGAAAACGATTGCCAAATTCATAAAATCCACAAAACAAAATCTCTTAAAATTTCTTTCCACAAATTCTCCTCCTGAGATCGCTTCCAACCAGAAAATTTCAATGCAGTATGCAGGTTTATGTCACCGACCATGTTTTGGAGCGATCAGAATCCGGAACTGTTCATCGGAGGTGGGTGTCCAGCGCCGCCAAGTTCTTGAGCAATTGGACGGAGAGCTAGCCAAAGGTGACGATCGAGCCGCTTTGTCTCTCCTTAAGGAATGGCAGGGCAAGCCTGGTGGCCTTCGATGCTTCGGAGCTGCTCGTCAGGTCAGTATTTGCATAGATTTTGATCGGAATCTTGTGGTTAGTAGGAATTTTCAGATGGAATTTTGAGAAGTTTTATCGTTGATCTTCCTTTGCATTCAAGGTGTTTGTTAAAATGCTTCAACCAGATTGATGGGAGATTGTACTTTGATCTTCAATTTCATGAAAGTAGAGTTGTTTTTGTTCAGATTCCAAAGAGAATTTACACATTGGACGAGCTAAAGCTGAATGGAATTGAAGCTTCATCTCTTTTATCACCATTGGATGCAACCCTTGGAGCGATTGAAAGAAATATTCAAGCGGCTGCTGCTTTGGTTGGTGTTTGTGCTTGGAATGTGTTTCACATTACTCCGCAACACCTGTTCTACCTTTCGGTCGGATTCCTATTTCTCTGGACCTTGGATTCGGTAACTAAACTTTCTTATATCTTCTAGTTATACTTGAATCCAAGCCCATCAAAATGATGAGACTGAATAATATGTGAAGGTGGGTTTGAATGGAGGAGTTGGAAGCTTAGTTCTTGATACAATTGGTCACACTTTCAGTCAAAAGTACCACAACAGAGTTATTCAAGTAACAATCTTCATGCATCATCCTGCTATTTTACTATATTTCAGCTCGTTTGGAATGGTTTTCTAAGAAAACATAGTTATGAAATAGCATGAAGCTGGGCATTTCTTGATCGCCTACTTGCTCGGAGTTGTTCCGAAGGGCTATACGTTGTCGAGTTTGGAAGCATTGCAAAAGGAAGGATCTCTGAATCTTCAAGCCGGCACTGCTTTCGTTGATTTTGAATTCCTTGAAGAAGTAAGTTTCAGAATTGTAGTTCAACCCAATTACCTGTGCTTCTTATCATTTCACTTCTGCTAATATCCTTTGATTTCACAGGTCAATGCAGGAAAAGTTTCTGGAACGGTACATTTTCTACTTTGAACACCCCATCCAACATTAAAATGCTCGATTAGAACTCCTAAAGTTTGCCTATAATACCATTTTAATCTTTTACATTAGTTTTTTAGAAATCACTGTGCAAAAATCTGAAGACATTTTCCAAATTACGTCAAGTAAAGTTTAAGAACTAAAATGAAATATTCAAAAGATTCGGACGAGAATAACTAAAAAAATTGTTTATGGGAAGTGTTTTAGTAAGTAAAGTCATTGATTTGGGATTGTTTGGGTTGTTCATCAGATGTTGAACAGATTCTCATGCATAGCACTTGCTGGTGTGGCTACAGAGTATCTTCTATATGGATGTGCGGAGGGAGGCCTTGCTGACATTAACAAGGTTTCATTTCTTACTGTCTTTTACCTAAATCCTATCACATTTTGTTTGGATATGATTTTCATTGCTTTTAGAACTTTGGTTTTACTCGAGGAAACAATGATCTAATAATTGATTTGGTAGGCCTTCTTTTTGTCCCAAAATTGAACAAGACGTTATCAAACCCCCACCAAAATAAGTCTATGTCGTTGTACAATGAAAAACTAACAAAATTTGGTAATATTTCTGCTGCTTGTTGACAAAAATGTGTTTCTTAATCATTATTATTCTAATTTTTTGTATCTTTTTAATAGAAAAAGGATATAGTTTTTCACAACACTTTTCTTGTTCTTCTCCCAAATTTTGAAGTTAAAGAAAAATTTCGAAATCTTAAACTTTCGAGAACTAAGCTTATAATTTTTATATTTTTAGAAGTGAAATCTAGACCAAACGTTTCTATTTTGTTTTGGTCTTAAAAGGTTGATTATCTCATTTGAGTACTGAAAATCGATCCAAACCGAATCAAATGGTTGTATTTTTGTTAAAATTGTTGTTATATCTTGAAGAATGGTTTTGGTTTTACAATTGAGGCAGTTGGATTTGTTGCTGAAAGGGCTAGGGTTTACACAGAAGAAGGCAGATTCTCAAGTAAGATGGGCAGTTCTAAACACTGTTCTGATATTGCGCCGCCATGAAAGTGCTAGAGCTAAGCTTGCAGATGCTATGTCTTCTGGAAAATCTGTAGGGAATTGTATTGACATTATTGAGAAAAGTATTGATTTTGATGATATCTAAATGAAATCACACGTTTTACTTGTACTTCTCTTGATTTTTTAAGATGCTACTGTACGAGAAAACCGATCACGAAGAGTTAGGAAACGAGGAGTTGTTTGAGGTGAAAATTTTCAATTCTATTGAGTTGCAATAAGAGTAGATTTATTTTATGTTTCTCCTTCATTCGACTCTTTCACAAGCCTATTTGAGCGGAAATTGGATTTCTTATCACACGACTTGTGATGTATATTATCTATGATTGTGATGTATATTATCTATGATACACGTACAAGCGAACATCCTTGCGCAAGGAATCCCCGTTGTGAAATTTGAATGATTAACAATACTGAATACTGTCTGCTGTTCTGAACTATCCAAAGTTATTGGTAATCATTTTATATGACAGGAGGTTAAAGTGTTACAAGTTATTGGTAATCATTTTATATGACAGGAGGTTAAAGTGTTACAAATTTTAAGTTACAACGAATAAATAGAGATACCCATGAGTGTGATTGTTATCCATTTTCAACTATACACAGTGATGATCTTGCATGCTTATGAAATGTTTTAAGAGGAACTCAAACCCCATTTGTAACGACCTTAAATTTTCACATATTCAGAGTCGCTACTAATGTCTGAAAAACTTTAAAAACCATTTAAAACAACTTCTTCTCTGAAAAACACAACGTCTTACGTGTTTAAATATGAAATACTGAAATTTAGAGAAAACAAAAATAAATACAAAATAATTTAAAAGAAATGCAAAATAACCTATTCTAACTTGACTAGAAATTTAAATATAAATCTACCCTATGCACGTGCCACAATCTCTGCTCGTGATGCCGCTGTCCTCCGTACAAGTGTGCCTTGTCTTTACCTGAAAAATGATGTGGCACACGGCCTGAGTATTTCAAAGAATACTCAGTAAGTGGCCTCACTATAGTGGCCATGCAAATGCAAACACATGTAATCATGATTTAGAGACTTATCTCTAATCATCTTAGGGGTGGCCTCCAGTCTCGTACAAATTGGATGTGTAGTACTTCCCTACACACGACTCACACATGCGAGTGTGAATCCCCAGGGCACTCGCACACCCCCTGGACCCTCTGGTCAAGCTAATCTATAGCGACGTTCGGAGGTCAGCGGAACCCCATAGTGTCATGCACCTCATGAACACCCTCATCTGTGTGCTTTCGCGCTCATCATACGGTGCGCGTCCGCACTCATCATCTTTAGGGGAAGTAGCCCTATGCTTATGAGCATACAATATGCATGAGGTCCCTCTAAATCCATCATAATGTCTCTTCTGACACAACTCTCTAGTCTCATCTCTTTGTTACTCTAGGTAACACATACTCGTGGATATTTATATTAATATCATTTTCACGCTCTTAGGGTTGTGTCCTATGTCGATCTAACGACATGATGCAATATGACACTCATCATCATATAGCATGCTCAATATGGAAAACACCACCATATTAAGGTAAACGTCACGCAATCATCATACTCATCATATTGCCACAAAGTGCATCAAACATATCAAGTACGACATTCATCAAAATATATATATATACTGAGCACATCATCAGGTATCATAACCCACACATCATCATAACTCATATACCGCATCGTACGACATAGTTCATACATCATCGTAACTCATACAATTTTTTAGCATATCCTGTAGTAAGGCCACTTACCTGGTTGGCCTTACCGAAATATTCCCTAATTTAATTAACGTAAGCTCCCGTTCCTCGAGAGCTGCTCCAAAAGTTGCTAGAGTTCGCTTCATATCGAACCGTTCGTCACCTTTTGTTAGTATTTCACATTTTAATTAATAATCCAACTAATAATGTGAAATACAGCTCAAAAACGGTCTCAGTAAAAATCGAATTCCACATTTTCATTGATTCTAAATTTTAGTTGGATAGTAAAACTTAAATTGAAAATATGTCGATATTATTTCATGCTGCTTCAATCATTCAATTCAACAATGATTTGTTATAATATTATATTCTCTGAGTACAAATAATAATAATTTCTCACATCTTCCATTTTCCTTCTCTCAGTACCACTTTGTTTCTCTTCTCTCTTTGTTTCTCTTCTCTCTTTGTTTCTCCTCTCTATCTTCTTTTTCTTTCATATGAATGACTATGCAATTATAAAACAATATTCAATCAATTCCGTTTTCTCCTCCTCCTATGACTATCAATTAATAGAAGACATTTTCAATCTTTTTTTTTTCTTCTTCTTTCCTAAAAACTACTCTGAAACCATTTCAGTCTATTCTGTCTTCTTTTCTTTCGGTTTCAATCTATTATGTTTTTTTCTCTTTCTTGAAAACTACTATGAACGGAAATATTTTCAATCTATTCTGTTTTATTCTCTCTCTTGACTATCCAATTCGAGAAGTCTCTATTTTAATTTTCCTCCGTAAAAATGACTATGCATCCATCAATTATGATTTTCTTCTCTTCCCTAAAAATGATATTCAATTTAGATGCAATTGACGAGCCATTTTCAATCAATTTTGATTTTCGATCCGATCCAAAAATCTAAATAATTGAAAAAGAGATCTAACATAACTTTTTTTTATCTCTTGCAAAAGATAAAAGAGAAGGAGATCTAACTTACCAATTACTTTTTCATCTCTTTCCATTCCTATTAAATCTGCTTGAAGTGAAGGCCATCTAACTTTGTTATCTCTGGCAAAAGATAAAAGAAAAGGAGATCTAACTTACTTCCATTCCTATTAAATCTGCTTGAAGTCAAGACCATCTAACTTTGTTATCTCTTGCAAAAGATATCTGATTGAAGTCAAGGCCATCTAACTTTGTTATCTCTTGCAAAAGATAAAAGAAAAGGAGATCTAACTTACTAATTACTTTTTCATCCCTTTCCATTCCTATTAAATCTGCTTCAAGTGAAGGCCATCTCTAATTCTTCTCTCCCATCTCTTTCCATTCCTATTAAATCTGCTTGGAGTGGAGGCCATCTCCAATTCTTCTCTCTCAAAATCTGTCATCTTTCTTGTGTTTCTTTCTCGATGTTTCCCTTCTCAAAATCTGCCTTTTTTTTTTCTAATTTTTTTTTCCAGATCATTTTGCAGTTGTAAGAGCTGTGAGGAAATATTTGAAGGTGGAGAGAGAGAGAGTCGATAATTTAATTTTTTTTTAATTATTATTTACTTATTATTATAGGTTCTCATTCGCTGACTGAACACAACTCATGCAGAAGCTAAGGTGTTCGGCTACACATGCTACCCATGTGTGCATGTTCTCTTGCTTGCGACTTTTAACTAGACTTGTCTCTACTCCTAGATCAAGGTCTTCCATGTACAATGTTGCATCTCATCTTGTCATCTTGATTCCCCACAACATGACTCATGCATCATGATTTCATTCCAAGTCTCGAGATGTCATTGGCCCATACTAGTCACTTAGGCACACTTGTCGAAAATCAACCATGAGTCGTCTCTGTCATTGAGACATCTTGAGCATCTATCCATTTAGGTACTATCGAAGCATGAACCCTCCCATGTTCATGCCTATGAATTTTGTATTGGAGAGCGATCTCATATACCAACCTTTGATTCATGAGCTGGTGTGCAATGTCAACACACCCGTGTCGTCGAACACTGTCCTAAAAAATTTATTTTCAAAGGAAGACGCCCAGGACATTCATCTTGTATCACTCGCCCAAAGTGTGATACACTTATGTGCCACATGGTACTTATGTGCCACATGGTAGCTCACTTAGATCATAGGGCCCATGGATGGTGGAGAGCTGATAAGATGTTTCCCCTAAGATACATTTTGAGGCATATTTGATCTTCTTGGACTTGACGTGATTCTAGCGAGCAATCATACAATCCCGAGGTGCGTCCGTCAGATATCCGATTGATACCAAAATTGGTGAGTTTTCATCTTTCATATAAACAGACTTAACTCTAGATTCGCATGTTGAAACTCATGTCAAAATCTCGACTTTTGTAGTATGCTCGGGGCGTACTTGGTCTTCTTTGAGCTTGTCTTCAACACTATGTCACCATTGTCCCCTCTAATCTTGCTTATGCCTCAACTTAGCTTAAATGTACACTTTCCTTGGTGTGTTGGATTGATGCGTTGTCGTCATTGGTCGGATCATAACACTTGTCTATCTCAACCTTAATGTAATGACCCTATTTTTAATATTAAAATAAAGTTGTCACTACATACATGATGTGTCTAATATATACAAAAAATTCTTAAATACAGTTTAAAATATTGTCATAGACTTGAACGATGGTAAAATTCATTTAGAGTAAAAATTAAAGTTCAATAAAATAATGAAATTGAAATTAAAAGAAATGCATACACCCTAATCTGATCTAAGGACTACAACTTCATGAAAATGAAACTATTCTCACTTTACTTCCAGTCTCTACAACGATGTCATTATCTATATAAGGATGTTTACCTTTACCTGAAAAAAGTAGTACATGACTTGAGTATTTAATTGAGATTTAAAGAACTAAGTAACCCTATATGAATTGATATTGGTAAAAAAGGTTGCAACAATGAAATAATTAGGAATTTCGGCTAAGGCCAACCATGTAAGTCACCTTACTCATTCGACCATGTAAGAGACCTTACTATTGAAGTTAGGTAGCTTAATGTTGTATGATGGTGCATACCCCATGGCCCTACATGGTGCACCATATTGTTTGTGCTATGTGTATGTGTTCTATGTAATGACATATGATGTTATGATATGTATGCATGTGATATCCATTACGCCATGTCGTAAATGAAACGAATTATTATATATATCATGTTATATATTGTCACGTAAAATTATGTGATGGATCATATGATGACTGTCATGTATATATGATGCATATATGTACAACCATGAACGAAAGGAAAAAGGGAATGGTGTAATGTTATTCTATAAATGAAAATCATGTAGATCTCATGCATGCATGTATGTCATGTGAATCGAAATACTTCCTCATTATGTTATGCAAGTAAGGACGTGTACCTTTGATAATTATGTTCACCATGATATCATGCAGACCTTTCATTTTCTGCAGCGTCCAGTGACGTTTTAATGCGTTGTGCCCGACCAAGTCAGGCTCAGGGAGTACGTATACAAGCCCACCTGGTGGATCCATATGCGCATACGTGGGTCGTGTGTGGAAAAATACTGCACATCCAAGCCTGCACGGAACTAGAAAAAGCATAAAGTTATGTTACATTTTTAAAAGATCGTCCCAATTATGTTAGGTGTGTGATTGCATTACGACAGTGGAGTGACTTGCTAAACATTTTCTAAGATACTAAAGCCACATACTACCTTTATATATTTTAGGTAAAGGTAAAGCTCCTAGACAATGGAAGTCATGATAGGTAAAGTCACGTGCTACCTTGCATGGATGACGATAAATGCTGGAAAGACCATGAAAGTCAAGATAGGTCAAGTCACACCCATGATTTTTTTTATAATTCACGATTGAAAATTAGAGGCTCACAAAAATTTGAATTAGAATTGTAAGTACAAAAATACGACAATACGACTTACAAAAATATGACAATACGACCGAATGCCAATATCAGTAGCGTTCTCGAGAAGGCTATCCCTCTCATCAAGTCCGAGTATGGACTATTTCTCAAAACAACTCCTAAAAGTGCTCTCACAAAGCATTAGGCAAAGTACAAAGGACCCAAGATCACAAAAGGATTATAATCTGTTGTTGATCCTTAGAAAGTTTTGCTGAAGAAAGTCCAACCTACAAGCATCTTTACAAACATCACTACTAAGATAGTAGAAGAGAAATGGATAAATATGGGAAAATCAGACCCCCAAGATGAACTTAGTGATAACATATCAGAAGGCATCCCCCTCTCTCCCTACATGAACATTTTCATCCAAAATCCACCAACAAATTCTCCATACACGAGTAACTTTCATTCAAACTCCAGTAACATGGAAGATGAAGCTCCTCCTCTCTGTCTATTGACTCTACTACTCCTACACTAAAATGTTGGATCATCGAATTTACAATTCCTGCTTTTGCAGACCAATCTTCAAATTAGAACCAAGATATTAACCTCCCAACAGCCTCACTCAACTCCTTGCTCTTCCCATTGGATTGATATCATTCATCTATGATAGGACATGCCTACCCAGCTCTCTCTTCTACCCTCCACTGTCAGACAGTCTGAGCAAAATCCAAGTTTTCTTCAGCTAGAAACTTTGAAACTCGAACTTGTCGATATATGCCTTCTTGAAAAGAAGCATGGAACAGTGTTCGAGAGTTCTCTAGAACGAGAAAATATAAAAAAGAAAGAAAGAAACGAAATCAACTGGGCTGCTCTCATTTTATAGAGAGATGAATACTTCCCGTTCTTTAAAGCAAAATTTGCCTTAAACATCGGAAGAATCCAGATTGGCTGTTCTCTCCCTCTCTAACACATTAACCTGCATTTTTCTTACCCAAATCTAGGTGATCTTCTAAGTATCACCGTTTCTCGCTCGATGCCTATCTTGACATGTTTCTTTGGACTGTGTGTTCCTCCATTTATTTGAAACACACTGCTTTTGTTGTGTGCTGATTGGTCATTTTGACTAGCAACTTTACTTCCATTAACTTCAGGCATGTGCCTATCTATGTCTACCTGAGCATCATTTTCAGTCGTGTTTAACTTCCTTGGTGATTTTCGTGTGATAGTTGGGGCCTCACTTTTCAGATTACTCTTCTCTGAGTTGCATTTCTTCTGTACGTTTGCAGCCTCATTATTTTCAATACCAATCTCTTCCACTTCCGCTTCGGGAGATTCACAGTCATGAGATGAATCAATTATTCCTGGAGCAGCAGCATTGTCAGTCTCCTTCTTGATGTTAGTAAGATCGACATGGTCGTTAATATTCGGGGGAAGAGCAGCAGGATCTAATTCAAATGATCCTTTCGGAATGCCTTCTCTTTCCCTTCCAGTCATTCTAACTGAAGGAACTTGATGAGAAAACCTGTACAACTCGTTAGGTGCAATCTTGAAGGAGTTCAGTCTATGCTTCTCAGTAGTCTGAAACAAGCAGACAAACCCTTTGATCTTGTCCATGTAAGCAACCGAGATGCCAACATCCTTGACATAATCTGACAAGATTTCAACAAATTCATATTCAAAAGCTACATGTTTTTCAGGTTCAGAGCTCCATCTAATATCCCAGTCCTTGAAAAGAGCCCAAGTTTCTCCTTTTCTGGGATACAACAAGTACGTATTCCTCACAGACTGTTTGGGACAATGTACCATATGAGAGAACATGGGAAGATCAGCAGTTTCCTCGGTGTCTCCTAAAGTATACTTGCCACATGCAATAGGCAATTCTGCATCGCTCCAATCAATTTCATATTTGCTATCAGGATTTGGTTCGAACCAAGTAATCTGGAGCTTGAATACAGGGGAGAACACTTTTCTAATACGAGCATAAAATCTTGGCATGCCATCAATGGTATCGTATATAGCCCATACCTGATTGACTGCAAAACAATCTTCTGTTTTATCGTTATCAAAATTGCTAAACTCAGGATCAGCACATACCAAAACATGTACTTTTACATCTTTGTTCTCTGTATCAATATCCTCAACTTTGGATTTTTTATCATTTTGATCTGACATGTTTTTTCCTTCTTCCATTACCTTCAGTTCCTCACATTTGGGTTTCATTTTGGGCAAGACTTCCGGATGTTGAGAAGGTACTTCATGTTTGATGCCCTTTTTGTGACCATCAACAGTACCATTACCAACTGAAGATTTGTCAACTTTAGATGCTGCAACATCTGCAGTTGCATCTTTCGTTTTCTCTTTAATGTCCGCAGATTCACTGCCCCTTGATTTCTTTGGAATCTGTAAATTATTATCATCATCATCACTTAAATATTTCTGGTACGAAACATGGTTCTTGTTCCTTGAAGATCTCCTTTGACAATTGCCTCTACCTTGACTAGAATCCTTTTCATATAAATCGTCATCATCAACATCTTGGTCATCTTCAGAATTGTTGACAGGTGTTGTAGCTGATTTTCGTTGTCGCTTCCTATTTCCACTCTTTGGAGCTGATTTGGGCTTAACACTACCACCCTGTCCATCTTTGGCATCCCCATGTGCCTTCTGTTTTTTTCCACCTTTAGCATTCAAATCACTGCCAGCAGTGTAATTTTCCCTTGATGCTCGTTCAACCCCAGCAGACCTATCCTGAGATTTATTATCAGAACCATGTTTGATCTGTGTAGCTGATTTTGAGGGTCCTGACTCAGGAGCTACTTTCTTCTGAGGGACATGACCTTGGTGGGAGGGTGGAGGCATATTTTGGTTATTTAAGTCATGAGAGATAAAACCTCTGCCACAATTCTGGCAACGCAACATCTTATTAAGATAACATTTGAGGTACTGATACCTCACAATACAAAATGGGCAGCACGTCCAAAAAGCCTGCTGTGGTGGTGGTGGTTTGTATGAATTTCTTCCAGGAAAATGCGAGAAAGGAACACTTGAGTAACCATTTGCAGTTCCACTCTCTTGCTTGTTCATTGCTGCATATCCATTTGACTGATCATGAGATGACTTAGGTGCAATATTTCTTCTTCCAGCTCCACACTTCATGTCGTATAACTTGCGTTTTGACTGATCAGAGAGAAGCCTGTTAGCTTCACCAACAAGTTTAAAAGCAGCTTCTGCACCAGTAAACTTGTTCTTATCTGGGTGGAGCAACAATGCAAACTTCCGGTACTGCTTTTTTATAGTAGTTTCATCTGCTGATTGTTCTATTTGAAGAATCCCATACCAGTCATTTTCAGTTCCACATATTCTATTCTGAGCTGAACAGTGAATCTCACATACCGTTAGCAGTTGTGTAATATTTTCAAGTGTAGGAAAGAGTCTATGTGCTGTCTGAGCCATCTTCCTCGCCCCCAAAAAATCACTGATTTCCAGCTTCTTCTCAGCAATTTGCATAGCCTTAATGGCCTCTTCCTTGTTGCACTCCATTGCTACCACGTTTAAGTATTAACCATTTAATTTTCAAACACAGATTTCTCAATTCACTTTGCTGACTGTCAGTCAGCACCAAAAGTCAATAGTTTCAATCTGCATTAAGGTAAGCCAGTAAACTTAAAAACATTTCCCAAGACGTTTTAAAAACAAAGACGTATATTAATATTCATGATTTGAAGTGCAGACATGATATTAAGTTTAGAACAGAGAGAATTTTACCATCATCACAGTTGGATATACTGTAATAAACTTGAAACAAACTATGGCATCTCAATCAAAGGGATTGGAGCTACAACATCTATGAGTGCAGGGGATCCTAATACTTGAAATTAATATCTGCAGGTACAGTTCAAATATGAAAAATCAGAACCAGCAAGTGTATGGAAAATATATGAGCAAAAAGGAGAAATACACACAAAACTAAAATTTGGAACTCCGAAACAATCACAAGCATTATCTTTTTCGTATTTTTTCTTTGTTTATTCATTATGATTGTAGGTTATTCTCATAGTCAATTGCTCCTCAGACAGATCACAAGCAAAAGTTTCTAAACCTAAACATCATTCCTCATGAACAATGCATTTCCATTAGAAAATTACTTTTTTACTTAAAGAACTATTGTAACTGGTGAAAAGAATCCAAATATTCAATCAACCCCCAAGTTCCAACGAACAAAGTTCCTCATTCAATGCAAATGGAATTTTCTTTCTTTTTTTTTTTTTACCTAACTGGTACACACAATATTATCAAATTTAAATTTAAGGAGTTCAGTGAGGATGTCCTAGCTATAAATATGAAGAAAACAATGAATTCATAAAATACTATCAATGTTTTCAAAGAAGAATGCGAAATAGCCCTCTGAGGACAATGAGCTCAAAAAATATGTGAGTACTCATGTGAGACGAAGCATGAAAAGAGAAAATAGAGGAAAGGCCCATTTAAGGTCATCTGGCTTCCACAATTCAGATAAAGACAGGTACCCTCATTAAGGTATATGCCACATCAGGCCTACGTTTTTTTCCCCTAAGAAATTAATAAAATGTGTTCTGTAAAACCTCATTTCCCAAGCAGCTACTATATAAAAAAAATAAAAATAAAATGTTTCGTTTGAACATTTTTGCGGTTAGTACTCAAGTTCCAAAGGGCTCTCGCACTTCAATGTGCGTAGTGATTTGAAAAATATACTTTCAACAACAACCCCACAAAATTATTTTAAATTCCTATAATTTGAAACTATCATCACCTAATTTGGTTATATCATTATTAAATTTGATTTTAATTTAAACCCTAGTTTCCACTGTCTAAGAATGTGGAACTTGCACCTAGCTGCAAGGTGCGCTAAGATCCGTTCTTTTTAGGGCATATAAAACAACGTAAACTCTAGAAAAAAATTTGTTGTTTAAACTCTTACCACTTCACCTTAACTTAGAAACTAGTAAGGCTCTTCCTCATAGACCCACCAACTGTTAGACTTCAAACCATTTTTACCCGCACAAATTGAAAATCAACCTTCCATCCGCTCGAGGAAAGCATTACTACTAATGTACTTCAAAACGTCTAATTATCTCTTCAAGGAGCTATAATTTTGTCGTAGATTTGCATTTCATTTCCCCGGCATCTAGCCTAGAAACCAATGAGTTCCTTAAAGAAAAATCTGAACAAAGTAGATCAACTTTCAACTCCCACATTCACAAAAACAACATAACAATTCAGCAGTAAGAAAAACACCATCCAATCGAAGTTCAACTTCGATGAAAACAAGTCAATAGCAGCACAAATTACAGAAATCCGCAACAAAAAACACGGAAGACCTCACAAACCAGGAAACAAACACCAATCAGAAGCAACAATCAGCTGAAGGAGCAGAAACATAAATCAAAAGCAAAAACAGAGGCTCGAAATCAATAAACATGATAGAAACAAGAGAGTAAAATGGATTAAAATGAGGAAATGAAAAAGAAAACCCTAGAATGGAACATGGAGGCAAGAAGAGAGAGAAGTAGCGAATGAGGGAGGGAGGGAGTTACCGAGAGCTGAAAAGCCGATTGAGCAGCGTCGGAAATGAAAGAGAAATGAAGAAAAATGGCGCGGGAAGAATGAAAAATTTTGGGGGGAAGAAGGAAGTTAAATTGCCCGACTTCCCAGTTTTTCTCTGTGAAATTCGGCTGTGTTTGTGTGTCCCTCTGTCTTCCACCCTCCGAACTGTCCAGTTTTCTGGTTCTTTTCATCCCATTTTTATACCGTACTTTTCGCAGGCCCAAGCCCAATCAAAGTAGAGATGTCACCCGGCCAAGTCGACACGTCTCCGCTTCCTATTTCAATTCTTATTCCTGCAAAAAAATAAAATAAATAAATAAATAAATAATAAAAATATAATCCCTGTCCTCGAGCCCGTTTTGTTCACCGAGAAATATCTTTCTCTACTCTCGTAGTATTCTTTATCCCATTCGAGATAGGTCTCCATGAGTTAAATGAACATCTTACTATGAAAAGTACTTCTTTCAACCCTAGTTTTGTTCGGTCTTTAAAATCCACGTCCATTTCCAACACAAACTTTCCAACTTGTCATTAAATGCAAAAACGTAAAACGAACACGGGTTTTATGTCCATTCTCATCCTCTTTTTTCACAACCAAACGGCCCGGAAAATTTTTTTCAAAACATCCTGTTACTTAGAAATGTATTCGTTTTCTTCCTCTCTCAAGGAACTCTTTCTAGCTGGAACCATTTCCATTTTGTTCATAATAGTTCTCACTCTCTTGAGAAGATAAGCTACCAAAAGTTTGTGTATTCGGAGTTTCCCTCGGTTTTGGTTAATCAAATACAAAAGGATAGTTCTCACTCTCTTGAGAAGATAAGCTACCAAAAGTTTGTGTATTCGGAGTTTCCCTCGGTTTTGGTTAATCAAATACAAAAGGATAGTTCTCACTCTCTTGAGAAGATAAGCTACCAAAAGTTTGTGTATTCGGAGTTTCCCTCGGTTTTGGTTAATCAAATACAAAAGGATAGTTCTCACTCTCTTGAGAAGATAAGCTACCAAAAGTTTGTGTATTCGGAGTTTCCCTCGGTTTTGGTTAATCAAATACAAAAGGATAGTTCTCACTCTCTTGAGAAGATAAGCTACCAAAAGTTTGTGTATTCGGAGTTTCCCTCGGTTTTGGTTAATCAAATACAAAAGGATAGTTCTCACTCTCTTGAGAAGATAAGCTACCAAAAGTTTGTGTATTCGGAGTTTCCCTCGGTTTTGGTTAATCAAATACAAAAGGATAGTTCTCACTCTCTTGAGAAGATAAGCTACCAAAAGTTTGTGTATTCGGAGTTTCCCTCGGTTTTGGTTAATCAAATACAAAAGGATAGTTCTCACTCTCTTGAGAAGATAAGCTACCAAAAGTTTGTGTATTCGGAGTTTCCCTCGGTTTTGGTTAATCAAATACAAAAGGATAGTTCTCACTCTCTTGAGAAGATAAGCTACCAAAAGTTTGTGTATTCGGAGTTTCCCTCGGTTTTGGTTAATCAAATACAAAAGGATAGTTCTCACTCTCTTGAGAAGATAAGCTACCAAAAGTTTGTGTATTCGGAGTTTCCCTCGGTTTTGGTTAATCAAATACAAAAGGATAGTTCTCACTCTCTTGAGAAGATAAGCTACCAAAAGTTTGTGTATTCGGAGTTTCCCTCGGTTTTGGTTAATCAAATACAAAAGGATAGTTCTCACTCTCTTGAGAAGATAAGCTACCAAAAGTTTGTGTATTCGGAGTTTCCCTCGGTTTTGGTTAATCAAATACAAAAGGATAGTTCTCACTCTCTTGAGAAGATAAGCTACCAAAAGTTTGTGTATTCGGAGTTTCCCTCGGTTTTGGTTAATCAAATACAAAAGGATAGTTCTCACTCTCTTGAGAAGATAAGCTACCAAAAGTTTGTGTATTCGGAGTTTCCCTCGGTTTTGGTTAATCAAATACAAAAGGTTCCTCCTGATTTCAATGAAAATTAACGCAAAACTTTGATTTATAAAAATTATCTGCAACCGAACACTAAATAAAAATCGAGTTTTTCATCTTTTTAAAATGTAGAGAAGATTAGTGCAAAATAATGAGTTTTTTTCTTTAAATTTCTCGATGTGTGTTTGTAACAATCGATTCATATGGTTTTCAATTAGGACGGGAAGGAAGAAATATGCACGTGTGTGCGTGTGCACGTGTGGAATGAGCTAGGGTTTCTTAGGTATTTTGAAGATTTAATTTAATTTTTTTTTATTTTTTTATTGAACATTTTATCCACTCTTTGTAGGAAAGATTAGTTGTAGACTTGCTCAAAGGGACCCCTAATCAAAAGGAAAGTACCCCTATAATCCTACCTAGGGACCTTTTCAATTTGAACAAGCCTTCCTAAAACCACAAGTGCCAAAAAAAAATCTTTTATGTGGACATCATTTGCTAAAGATGCTCGTATTTTGTTTGTTGATACGAATGACTCCACGACATGAGACTGTGTACAACACAATTTCGATTTTATTCATATTTAAACAAACTAAATGTAATGACCCAGATTCCTCGGGTGTTTTGTTCTCCTTCCCAACCAACTAATGTGGGACATCATAATCCACTCCCTCCGGGGCCTAGGGTCCTTGCTGGCACTCGTTTCTTTTCCCAATCGATGTGGAACCTCTCTAAATCCACTCCCTTTGAGGCCCAATGTCCTTACTGGCACATCGTCTTGTATCTACCCCCTTCGGAGAATAGCGAGAAAGCTAGCACATTGTTCGGTGTCTGGCTCTGATGTCATTTGTAACGACTCAAATCTACAGCTAGCTGATATTGTTCTCTTTGGGCTTTCCCTTTCGGGCTTCCCCTCAAAGCTTTAAAACGCGTCTGCAAGGGAAAGGTTTCTACCATGTTTTGTTCTCCTCTCCAACGTGTTTTGTTCTCCTCTCCAACGAATGATGTCCAATGTGGGACATCACAATAATTAAAAATTTAAAGTTAAGCAATAAATACCTGATGAAATATGAATATGAAGATAATTCTAGCGTGGGACATCACAATAATTAAAAATTTAAAGTTAAGCAATAAATACCTGATGAAATATGAATATGAAGATAATTCTAGCGGGGCTACTATAATGAAGTGAAGCTGCTATAATGAAGTGACGATATTTGAATAATGAACTCGACTTTTATAGCTTTACAAATAACTAAAAATAGATACTAACCATAGATCTCATAACAAATCTTAGAAAATATTTAAACTAAATACCTAAAAAAAATACTCTAACTATTGGGAGCTAATCAAATTTTTCTATCAAATTCTTATAACAATCCCTCCTTTTAACTTCTTCTTTATCAAGAATTAGTTCAAGTCAGAAAAACTTTGCACACCAAGTTCTTCACGCAGCTTCCAAAATGCTTCTAATTTTAGAGGATTTGTCAACAAATCAACCAGATGATTTTGGGTACCACAAAATAATAAATTGACAGTTCCTTCATTTGTAAGATCTCTAAAGTGAAATCTTACTTTTATGTGTTTGGAACGTCCATGTAGAATTGGATTTTTGGATAGCTTAATAGTTGAAGTATTATCACACAGCCTGTAGTTGATAAGGTTTTGTCAGCAACAAACTCAGCTTCTGTGGTTGATAAGGTGGTTATAGGCGACTTACGAGAAGACCAAGCTACTGTTGTGGTTGATAAGGTGGCTATAGGCGGCTTACGAGAATACCAAGCTACTTGTAATAACCCGAAAATAATAAATAAATAAATAATAATAATAATAATAATAATAAATAAATAAAAAAGTTAAATTAAAAAAAAAAAAAAAAAAA